TTCTGAATTGAAAAGGATAACTTAGGTGTGTGGGATAGCAGCTGACAGGTTGTGATCTTTACCCTGACACAATTCATGGCAAAATGGCTATTTTAAGAGCCTGAATTCACAGAGTCTGACTCCTAGAATAATGTTCATTTTTGGAAATGATGTATTCCTGCCTAACTGTATATGGATAAGCATGTACATAAACATTACATAAATATATATGGATAAGCATGTACATAAACATTACATAAATATTTATAAAATTATTTTTCCTGAAAGGTGTTATGGATAGTTATACCATACTATATTACAATTAACTGAAGAGATTGGATACCAGCTCTTCAAGATTTGTTTTTGTAATGGGAATTTACATAGTGCCTGCTCACATGTCAAAATTCTTACATTTCACTCCTTTCCATCCTGTGTGTTCCCTGCTTTCTTTCACACACCACGGTGGAAAATCAGGGCCAGAGTTTTACACACGCGTGGATTTTGTCTCCAAAACTCCACAGATCTTTTGAGCGGGAGTTCAGGGAGAGAAGTGAAGGGAGAGTATGGAAAATGCATCTCACAAACTTCAGAAACTGATTAGCATCCTGCTTCTTTTCTTTGATTGTGTCTCAGTTATACTATGATGTATAATAAAGAGTGATTGCAAGCGGTAATTTTTCCTTCTGGGGGTGGTGGGGGGGAGTGCTGTTGGTGGGTTTTGGTTTCTTACACTAACAGCAATGGCAGTATCCTTTTCCCAAATGTGTTACTGCGATTAAGATGAGCAGAATTGGTAATAGCTGTCTTACAAGTGTCTGGACTCGAAAGCGTCTTCTCTGCAGCACTGTTGCTGTGCTACACAGTGGGCACACATGGCAGCTTTGCAGTACTAAGCTTGTCACCCGTTCTGACCCTGTCACTTCCTCAGTCATGGACTCCATGGATAGAGATTGCTGTACTTTTGGGTCTCGTATCTAATGGTGCTGTCAGGAACATCACTTATCAGCCTCTTTATATGTAAGTAAAAGGAAATGTCATTCCCTCTAAAACATGAAGTGATTATTTGAGCCTAGAAACTTGTTTCGGGAAGAACACAAGCAGGATTTGGAAGTCAGTGATAGACTACCTCAGCAATTTCCTCTGCTTCACATGTCCAAACAAGTCACAATGGAAAAGCCCCAAAGCCATAATCTCCCTTCTCCTTTTTCAGGCATACCAGAAAATGCCACTAAGGATTATCTGAATTTGAGACATCCAAGTCAGCAGACAGGAGTCTGCTAAGACTTCTCTCTCCTGCTCCTGTTTTACAGTCAGGTTGAACTACCACTACCACTACTACTACTACTCGAGAGTTGATTGTTTCATCTGTCAAACTAGTATCATCAGATAAATGTTTACTGTACCTTTTTGGACATTCTTAGGATTGTTTTAGTTGAATTATTGTGTTAGCGTTGAACTAAATGCTGCATGATGGGACTTCAGGTATCTGAGGAGCTTACATCATTATTTTTGCCTCTGGACTTCACCAGTGCCATTTGAAGGCTGATGCCCATTATACATATTTCTGTTCCCAGCATGATAAAACTCTTGGCCTTATTCTTCTAATAAGATCTCTTGCGTGCAGTTCTCTCCCTCCTGAAGTTCATTCTCAAACAAGAAGATAGTCACTCCTTATCACTCCTTATCACTCTGGCATGTTGCCCCAAAGAACTCTATAATTCACACTCCTGAAACTTTGCCAGGCATTTGTGATATCTTATCCATCAGGAAGGGAGCTTGCTCTTTTATAAGTTTGAAATTTGGTTTTTATTTGTGCCTTATTCGACCTCTATCTATCTGTGAAGCTGTCCTTAATGAGAAGTCTTTCTTAAAAGGAAATCTTCACATCAGTATCTGATCTGTACCCACTCAGCTTTTGTGGGTGCATTGCTGGGGATGGTTGTAAGCCTGTGGCATCGTTACCAGACACAAGCGTGGCCTGATTTTTGATTGTTGACTACAAGGCCTATTTTAAGCCTTAGGGATTTAGAGTGGAACTCTAACTGAGGAATGGTTTCATAGAAGTTCCTGAGTAGATGAAGAGAGATGTGACACTGTTAGAAAAGAAAAAATGGAAATAACTCTTTGTTGTCTACTATATCATCTTATGTGGGGGAGAAAAGAAAAGAAATATAAGTGATGATAAAGAGAGTAAAAGAGAAAAAATATAAAAAGAAGGCTCTTGCAGAATGAGATGTCGTATAGCACAGAAGTGCAAAGCTATCCAAAATCAGAAGCCCTCCTGAAGGAGAGCTATCAAGCTTTTCTTTCACTGAGAAATAGTGTTAATGACAGGAGAAAGTAACAAGGAAAAGAATATAAGGTAAAAAAAAGTGTGGGAGGGATGTTTGCTTGCTTTAGTTCAAAATACTGTATTCAGTGTCTTTCTGTGCCATTTGTGTGTTTATGCAGTACAACCATGCATGTGCACATGTGAAGAACTGGTGTTGTTTTTTCATATTGAAATTGTAACACAGCAGCATCTAGACTTTGTTTTCCCTTTTGTAGCATTTATATCTGTTTTACATTTCTTTGGGGATATGACACAATTACTTTACTGTGGTAGAAGTAGAAGTAAGTATCCATTACATAGGATTTCTGTCAGTGCACGACAAGATAAAAATCTTATTTATAGAAGCTTTATAATGTTAGTATTTGAAGAGTAGATATAAATTGTACCAGCTTCTGTTTTACATTATGGATGTAAATTCTGAAGACTGAGGTTACCGCCTGCATCGCAGGATGTTTTATAGTACAGTGGGGTCATGTGAGACTCGTTGTGAAATGAGGGGAATTAGAATCATTTTGAGAAACAGAAGGTTTCAAAATAAGACTGTGAGAGTATCTGCAGACACAGAGCAGTTCTGACAAGAAGGTCGGGTTTCCAGAACCGATAGAGCTCAGTCTGTTCAGTAACACATTGAATTTATTTGACCAAGAAATTAGTATTCGACAGGATGAACCAAAACCATTATTTCTATCTTAAGAATATATAGTAACTAATAAATTGTATTTATTGTGCTTTTTATAGCCTAACTGCAAACTTTCACTTCTCTTTGGTAATTTTACAACCACTCCTTCAGCTGAGGTCCTGCAGAGAGTTACCCCTTAGGCTCATTTCCCAAGGAAACAAAACTGAAGTTCCACATGTGCCTTACTGTTCCTCTTCAGTTATTAACTTGTACAAAAGGATGGGTGTTCTAAGATGTTTCTACGTGTTTCAGGGAGTAGAGGAGAAAGAGCCATAGAGGGAGAAGCAGCACTGCAGGAGCCCAACTGCCATAGCAGGAAAGGCCATGGTGGGAGTTCAATATCAAATAGACACCAGAAATTAACTTCACAGTACCCCAACCGTGAGAAAAGCTTTAATCACATTTGGCAGTTTATTGGAAAATGTAACCACAGTACGGGTTGGCAGTATGATGCTTGGCTCACAGGCGTCGGTGTTTTTCAACTGACAGGTGCTTATGGACAAATTTTCCTTGGGAGGCTGCTTCAGCCAATATAAAAAAATAATGCAACAGTGTAAGAACTTCATACCTGTTGTTTGATCTAAGCTACAAACAGAAATGTCCTGGTTGGAAATGTTACCTTGTCTTCAGGGATTAGGGCTATATTATTTCATGAAGCAATGCAATCAGCTGTGCTTGGCCGAAACATTGTCTTTGGTGCTCTTTCATCTGTCTTGATGTATTCTGCAGACATGTACCTAAGTTTCTTTAAAGTATGTCCTGAGGCTCTCACAGAGGGCAAAATCTTATTTTACCCCATCGCCTCTCATGTGCAGTATTTTCAGAATAGAATTAATGCATTTCCATACGATATGGTAAATGAAGATTCTGAATATATGAAGTTTCTTCTTTTAACTTCATAAACTTGAAGCAACACCAGAATTTGTGAGAAGGAAATACACAGGGTGTACACTGTGTCACGTTCCTATCTAAGATGTATCAAACCTCAGTCTTGCTTCTTATTTCCTACACATTGCAAATAAATGATTTGAAACTGTTTTTTCTCTTCTGCTTCCTTGATTGTTTAGAACATGTGCTGTAGGCTTTCACAAGCATGGCAACAATCATGAATAATAACAGTAATTATTCGTGACATCAATATCAGAATTATTTTTTGTAAATAGAAGTCTGCAAGGAAAATATTGGATACATATTGAATGTATAGCATAAAAGAAGGTAGATGGGGGTTGTTATCGAGTAGCTTAAACCGACCTCTGCCCAGTGATAACTTGGCCGTTTGGTCTTACCATCAGTTTAGCCAGAGTTAAGAATACAATGAAAACAAAGCATTATAGTCATTTGCCTGAATCCAGCTGGTTTTGTTACTTTAAATTTTTTGAAGGTAGCTGCTTGCTGGTGTCAGACAGTGAGAGCTTTTAAAGTGCCTATGGTTACCTTCCAATGATTGCTGGTTTTTGTTTGTTTTTTTAAATCCTAATGAGATAAACCTTAATGTAATTCGTACAAAGAGTAGTGTTCTTGCTTTCAGAAATGAAGGAGTAGCTAAGGGGAAAGATAGCATGCATTTGCTCTGCTGCTGTTTCTGTAAAAATGGTGAAAGTCAGAATGCACCATTTCAAATAGTTTTGCTGCATTTTAACATTTGTAGCTCACATGCAGCAGATCTGTCTTTGCCTCACAGACTTTGGCAGGATCACAGAGGTCATATTTTACCGTGTATAAATTATTCATGAATGATTTCTCCAATGCTCTGGTTAAACTTGCAAAAATCAGAATACTTGTTTCTCTTATTCCTTTCATCCCTACAAACAGTAACATTCTAATGGGCATTGCACAAAAAAGAAAGAAAAAAAAAAAAAGCTGCCTTCATTTGTGTGCATTTGATGGAATGGATTGATATCAAGTTATGAGAGGAAAGTTCACAGAAGCAAAGAGTAAATAAGAATTTGTTTTCCTTTTTTTTTCATTACTCTCACTGCTGATCTTTGATCCCTGTGTCCTCTTTCCCAGGTCGTCCCATTCCACCTACATCCTCGTCTAGCCTTCTCCCATCTGCTCAGCTGCCCAGTTCTCATAATCCTCCACCAGTTAGCTGCCAGATGCCATTGCTAGACAGCAATACGTCCCATCAAATCATGGACACCAATCCTGATGAGGAGTTCTCTCCTAATTCATACCTACTAAGAGCATGTTCAGGGCCACAGCAGGCATCCAGCAGTGGTAAGAAAAATTGCAAACATATGGAGTTTGTTTGTGATGTGTTTGTTCTCGTTTTATACGTTATTTTGCAAATGTGTTCTTTCATCACCTGAAAATTAAGAGCATGTGTGGAAATGAGGCAAACAGAAAATGATAGTTTTATTTCAGCAAAACTTTTTTGGAAACATACTGCATGTTTTTCTATTGTTGTTTTTTTTATAGAGATCTTTTTTAATTTAAGTGTTACAAGCAGTGTAAAATTATTACTGAAAGCTTGTCATCTAAGAAATTTAGTTTTCAAAGTATGCTTCTTGTAAAAGAGATACATACACAGCAGTCCTTTATTCTGCACAGGCTAAGCCAACACCTGGTGTAGTGATGAGGTTCTGTATCTGGAAATGTGTTCCTTCTGCTGCTGTCTGTGTGTTCTTGCTTTAGAATCTGATTCTGCACTTTCTGTGTTAATTAAAATCCTGATACTTTCAGCAAAATAATACTTGTCTTTCAGTCTTCAGTTTTAAAATATTTGCAATTCTGCTATCAGCCATATATTCTGTAGTTCTTAGGGGTTTTTTCCTTCTCTTTCTTTTTCTTCTTTTTTTCTTATTCTTTAAGCAAACGCCTTATTTAATTTTGATGTTGAAAAACTGAGAAATAAAGATCTTTTTTTTTTTTGAGAATTATAAGCAGAACAACTAGAAGCTATTATTTTTTACTTAATTTTAAAGGCCCTTACTGATCTGCTCAAGGTCTCTCTTACCTGTAAAAGTATAAAAGTACAAATCTGAACGGTGTAGGAGGCACCACATAGCTTGGAACTTTTTGCCTCTGTGGATACATAAAGCAGATTTAAATTATGCCCTGTAAATATTGGCGGTGAACAGTGGCAATATGAGAAAAGATTGAGAGTGGATAAGAGATAGAATATTTCCCTAAGTATTGAGCAGGTTTCTCATGGAGCCTGTGCAGTCTCTGTCCTTGGATATTTGGAAGAACGAGTCGGTTAAAATCCTGGGCAGTCTGATCTCAGAGCTGTCCTGCCTTGGCATGAGTTTGGCCTACAGGCATCCTGTAGTAACTCCCAACTTGAACTTCCTTCAGCTCTGTAATCCTTCTGCTAAGTAAGATATTTTTAAATATCACCAGCTATAACTATTATTATATACATTAAAAGGAATTATAATTCAGATATTGAACATGTTTCCTTCCTCGGTCTTGATGTCTGAGGGTGTAAAAATGTGAAAGCAGTATTTTTGCTTGTTTTTATTTTAGAGATATTTGGGCTGATCTCAAGAGATGCAAGTCCCAAAATCTCCAATTACAAAAACTTGGAAACTATAGAAATTACGTAGAAATATAGAAAAATGTGGACATATAGGTAAAATATATTCTGCTTTTAAGTCAGTGTAGAAAACTGAAAAAGCTCAGTACTGGCTTAGAAACCGTCAAGAGTCCTTTGAAGGATTCAGCCATTTGTGAGTAATTGTGATCTGTTTGATGAAATAGTTTGCATTTTGCTCTCTGTGAAATCTGCCATGATCACAGGTATTTGTTGTTACTAACATTGTGAGTTGTTCGAAAGACAGTCTGTGGGGACTGTGAGGAAATACCAGAATGGCGTTGTGAAACCAAGTAGTAGAGCAGTAAAATAGCAGAAGAAATTCAGAGCAGAGCAAAGTGATGCTTGTGGAGAATGCAATGCTTGTTCACCAGTTGGTGATGGGCCACCGTGAGTATGGAGTGAGCTCTCGGGGATGTGTCATCTTGGAGCTCAGGAATGGATGAATTTGAGTGATGAGCAAAGGGAAGAAAAAAATAAAGCTGAAAACAGAGAATGTTGTTTGACTAAAGGATGTGATTTATCAGTTTACAAAGCTTTAAAAGGCAATGGTGAGAGAGACTGAGAGAGAGATATAGTGAGGGCTGCTTGGTGGAAGAAAATTGCAGGTTGGTGTGAGAGACTGGAGACCTGGAGAAGCCCTGAACTCTGGGTACTTGGTATTTATAGCTGCAGCTAGTGACCAAGCATGGCTTTGCTTCTGTAGTCAAATGAACCAAGCTGTAGTAAAAGAACATCTGAAAAGTTCGTGGAAGAACTCCTTGTGTTTCTTTGTGTTTTAAATGCTATTCATTGTTTCTTTTCTCACACGTTACTGTGGCTGGCACAAGGAACCTTTTCAGCATGCTCAGATATGCTTTGCTTTGTTTATGAATAGCTGAGTTGTTCATTCTCTACTTTAATATTTTTCCCCAAAATAGTCAATTTTCTTCTTTAATAAGCACTTGTAGTATATTGTGGCTTTCTTTTAGTTTTCAGGGCATAGGAAAAAAGCATAATTGATTAACATTTAGAGTATTTCATGGCACGTGCTCTTTGGATTTAGCACATCCTGTAGAAACCTATCTGTATTTGTCAGGTACTTTGTTTCCTTTCAAGAGTTTATAAGAAAATACTGCAGACAGTGACATGCAGTTCAAATTGGAAAAGTTACCTTTTTTGTCTCATTCTTCCTGTAGGATTTTCAGAGTAGCTTTTACATGTTACAGAAATGTGGACCATGGTTATGTTATTTTTGTATTTATATATTTGTCATTAATTTATATTAGGGGCTATGTAAATTTAGCAACATCCTCTAGACTTTTGGAAGATAGTAGATAAGTATTTTGTTTAAATTTGCGTTTGGGTTAAAAATAAATATTTGAAGACATGTAGATTCACAGTTTAGATTCCAAAAAATCTTAAGGCAATAATAAATGTTAGTTATCACTTTCTGGGTTCCTCCTTAAAATAATTCTATCACAGTCTTCAAAGTGCATACTGGAAAAGAAATATTTGCAGGCGACTTCTGCTGATTTCATTGTGTATGTGTTCTGTTTGGCTGATTGTGCACTTACAGTTGCTTCAATCTCTGCAATTATAGGCTAACCACTCAACAAGTTTGAGTCATCGTTAATATGAGGTGATAGTCATCCATTTGTATTGCCCTATGCCCTTTGCAATAGCCTAGCAATCTACCTAGGTGGATCTGGAAAAAAAAAGCACAGAATTCTTCAAATCTTCAATCAAATGAGCAATCTATTGTTGGTATTATGAAGGTCTTTAATCTACAATAAATCTTTGTTAGAACTCATCAGAGCTTCTAGTTTGAGAGAAATGTGATTATAGCACTCTTAAAATGACATTACATCATTGGGGTGATTGGTTTATCATTTGGAGAAGCGACATCAATCATACCTAGCATGACCACACAGCAAATGAATTCAACCTTTCTACTGCTGAACAATGACACAATAATTGCTCAAAATCAAACTTAAAATGAAATCAGAAAATGCACTTTCTTTAAATATGATGTTAACCTAATGGAATATGTTATTAAAAATCATGTTTGAGGAAATTCTGTGTAATTAAAAATATGTGAAAATGTATTCCTTTTTTCCTCTCATTAGAACCTGATTTTAGTTGCAGAATCATTTTCTATGCAGCAGATATTATGCTGCTTTTAATTGAACTCCCGTCACTTACATTCCTCTGCTTGTATTTCTTAATATAATATGCAGAACAATTATATTTGATGAAGGACAAGAGGTTTTTGAAAGCTGGTGCACCTGCTGATGATATTTTGAAAAATACAAATATTATAGAAGGTAATGAGACCTTTTACACGTGGAAAGTTAGATTTTTTTTTCCTTTTGGAAGAAGGTCAATTCCTGACACACCATTTTCTAGGATGGTTTCTTAGAGCTTACAGTAAGAATAGGTTTTTTCCTCTCTGTGTATTCATTCTACATATTTTCTTTCTAGCAACACAACTGTTCTTGTTGGAATGCCATTGTAATGGCTTCACATGCAATACGATAGAGCAGAGTTTTAAATAGTACAGAGAAAAAAAAAAAGATACAGGTTTTTGTTGCCAGCAGCTTTGCTTTCGTATTTTCACGTAGTGCTGTTAAACCACATTTTAGAATCCCAACCAAAAATATATATATTTGTTTGTTTTTAACAAAGGTATAAAACACCTCGATTTTATCTCCTCACACAGTAGCTATTGACTTATGGATCCGTAATTAGATACATTCATCATCTTCAGCCCTTGCAGCAATGGGAAAGTAGTTGCAGATGGGTTTTGGAATATTGTGGATTTGGGAAAAAGATGCATCTCTAAAACCTGAGGGTGTGCATTAGGCATTGTCACAATTTCCAGGAAGCTACTGAAGTTCAACTGGAAGGGCAGTCAATCATAGTTTTTCAGTGTGAACATGTCTTTTGGGCTTAATGAGAATACTATAAGGATTTGGCTCAGTGTAACTATTTGCCTGCAGAGTCCTTTGGATGCTACTTAGAAGACAGGGTTTGCTTTGGGTCTTTCACAAGCAGTTGCTGTCATCAAGGGGAGGGAAATGGGGAAATAAGTTGGCTGCAGTGGCTCTTGTTGTTTTGTGTTGTCTGTGAGTTAGAACTGAACTAAAATATGATCAGTCCCTTATGTTTATGACCACAGTATTTTATTATGTAAAGGACTAGTATTTATTACATTCAGTACAATTATCTAGAAGGATCTCCTGCAGTCAACCTGACAATAACTTTTTATAGGATTTTGTCATTATTGTGTAAGTTAGTTGATACAAACCATCTCTTTGCAGCACATTAAAAAAAATCTTTACTTTTCCTTTTTTTTTTCTTTCCCCTTCTCCCCCCCTGAAAGTAGTCAGAACTTTCATTAATACACAGTAATTGTTGGTCTTACTTGAGATCCTGTGCTGGAAATGCTTGAAAGTATGCTTTCTAGCTTTCTAGAGTCCAGCATCAAATAAACATGTTTCCAGCTTCTGCTGTAAAATGCAAACCCGTACAGACAAAGTCATCTCTGAAAAATAATTGAATCCCATAGAAAAAAAATGATTACTTCTTCTGATGGTTGCATATCACCCCTTACTAAATGGAGGAAGTGGTTTCTGTATCTGCTCATTTATGGGATAGAAAATAAAGTAGCAACAACAGAAATCTGGAATCCTTAGCTGAG